TCGGTGAGGGCAGTTTTGCTCTATACTTGTGAAACCTGGCCTCTCCGAGTTGAGGATGTTAGACGTCTCTCTGTGTTCGACCATCGTTGTCTCCGAAGGATTGCTGACATACAGTGGCAACACCATGTTAGTAATGCAGAGGTTCGGCATCATGTGTTCGGGCGCAGAGAAGACAACCCAGTTGGTGTCACCATCTTGAAACACCGACTTCGGTGGCTTGGACATGTTTTACGAATGTCGTCCCAGAGAATTCCACGTCGTGCATTATTTGCCGACTCTGGAGCTAATTGGAAAAAGCGGAGATGAGGTCAGTGTATGACATGGCGTCGTGGCATGAAAGAAAGCTTCAAAGGGCTAGCTTCTGTTGGTCCTTCACGACTCCCTGGCTGGGGTTCGAGAGATGGTGCAACACAGTGGCTCAGAATAGAAGCCAGTGGCGCTCTTGTTGTAACCTACTTTCTTCATAAAGAGAGGCTATAACTTTCCTAACTGAGAGAGCTCTTCTGGTTGTACATTTCAGTTCTCCCCATCATTACTCTTCTCCTTTTCCTTTTTTCCTTCCTTTATATATACGCATCTTCTTCCTTCTCCTCCAATTCTCATTTTGCGTGGCGCATATGTATCCGGTGCCCTTTGTACCAATATATATGTGATTAAATAAATAAATAAATAAGTTGGCGTCGGACGAATGGGATCAAAATGTATTTGTATTTTTCTGAAAAGTAAAGCTTCTGCTGGAGAGACCTCGTTAATTGTCTAATGTGTTCGGGCATAACCGACTCCGACAAAATTTGGAGAAGGTATAGGACTTAAATTGTGTTCCGTTGTCCGACTTTTCATTCTGGAACCCCGAAATAACTAAATAGTTGACGTATTTTTCTGGCTGCCAGCTTGCAGTTGGATGTTACACGAGTAAAATTTCTGGCCACTTGCTGTATGCATCAACTACCAAAAGGTAGGCTTTCCTATGAATCGGAGCAGCAAAGTTCACCAGTATACGCTGCCACGGTGACTGTGTTATTGGCCATAATTGCATCTCTGCTTTCCGCGGTGCTTCTTTTGCTAATAGGCATTCCCTGCACGAACGTGATAGCAGCTTTTGTTGGGTGTCTAAATGCGTCAAATAAAACAACTTCGTGCTGGCGCTTTCCTGCGATTTATTCCAGGATGTCTTGCGTGCCCCAACACAATCCTGCACAAAACACGCTCCAATATAATCTATATCGCGCTAACAGTTGGGCGTGTTGTTAGCAACCCCATCCGGTAGAGACACAACTTCAAGATAAACAGACCGATTTCCGTAAGGATCGGTCGTGCACAGACCGAATCGCCACACTACGGATCATCGTTGGAAAATCAATCGAATGGGACTTGTCACTACACATTAACTTCCTTGACGATAAGGCGTTCGACAGTGTGAATAGGAGAACATTATGGAACCTTCTTCTACATGATGGTGTACCTGAGGAAATCGTCAACATCATACGGAATTCATACGACGAAGTACACTACAAAGTCATGCATAGAGGACAGCTGGCAGACGCATTCCAAGCGAGGATCGAAGTCAGACAATGCTGCCTACACTTCCTTTGTCTTTCTTCCGGTGGTTGACTGGATTATGAAAACTTCCACATCTCAGAAAATTTAATATCACTGCCTATTAGGATAATACGAATGCATTTCTATTTTTATTAATAATAGTTCACCCAAGGTTCAGTTTATTTGAAATTATCAGGTCAAACTTTGGTATTGATACCTACATACTTTCGAGTTTTGTTTTAAATTACATTGTTTACAGCGAACTCACAAAAACTAGTGGATAGTAAACGAGCTGGAGAGGCAAGAATGGCAGAACACGTAATGATTCCCACATATAACTTCTTCATATCAACAAGGAAAAAATAATGATTTGTCTACAACTCCATCTCATTACCTTGTCAGTGAATTTGTTGGTAAAGAAATAGTAGTCGATAATAAACCTCCTAGAAAATTATTCATGGCTATAGGAAAGATTCAGAAGGTACACTTAAGAATTAATACATTAGGTTTGCTTTTCTTGAATGACTTCAAATTCTACTGACCCGTTTACATGTGTGTTTACTTTCAGGCTAATTCTGCAAGTATCGTTGTGTTCCCTAAAGAATAGCCAGAATACGAGTTATGTTGCAAGGGCGCCTAGTAACAATTAATTAGATTGGCAGAACATTTGATTAGGAGGTACACGCAAAAAAGTGAGAGGACAGAAGGAATATATATATATATATATATATATATATATATATGCGTGTTTTCAATGTCAATGTAAATTGATGCATAACTTAATGATTAACAAAGCTAACAAGCAATGAAGGAATAGATAAAAATTAGGATGCAGATATGGATTCAGTCAACCTGACATATTCGGATGCATGGTGGATCAAATATTCAAACTACAATAAGCAGGTAATGAAAATATAAATGGGCATTTCTTAATCCTTCTGTTTCACCGTAAAATAGGTCATACACATAAAAAGTTGACAAAGGCTTTTTACAAATACATTTCAACTTATGTTAATAAGGTTATTTCTACAATATCAAGATTACGAAATTGACATTCAGCCTTGAGAAACCAATAAACTTCCTAAAGCTACCGAACGCCATTAGTTTATATTACTTCTGTTACGAAATACTTGTGACTCATTCATACCTATTGGAAGAGCCTGTTGAATTTCAGACAACTTCACAGTCATTTAGGGAAATAGCATTTCCGTTTAGCACAAACATTGCTAGGAATGAAACAGACCAAAGATCGTCTGATTATTATGACAGTTGTCCTGAAGTCCGTAAAAGGTAAGTTCTTGGTCGATGACTGCTTGGGTTATTTATCGGCTATTGAGCGAGCAAGTATAGTTCTTACGCAGATAAACAGAGTGACGTTAAGGGAAATCTGTATACCTTCTTTCTTGAACAACCTCAACAGTTACTACGATGTGGTGGCTAAGCCTGTGTATCATCATGGCCCAGTTGAGTAAAATCGGCTGGAACATTCGCCCCTTTAGGTGTTACCAGGTACAAAGCGTTGGTCAAATAGCGGCAAATTTACGGTTCGAGAGCTAAGTTACATTATAGACTGTACAGAGAAATGATGGTGTGGTGTATACTGCTAATGTCGAGAGACATAAGCAGTATGTTATAACAATAGAAGTGGAAAACCTGGCAGCAGAAAGCAAAGGAGACCAATTCGAATGAAATAGAAAGAAATTGTGAAGTGGAAGAATCAGATAGAGAGTGAAGGACCATCGATGGAAGATTTACAAATGAAGTATTCCATGTATGGTTCTCATATTTTACCAAGATATTCTGTAATTTTGTATTAAATCATAAATTGGTTGTCTTCACGAAGTATCAACTGTTAGGCTGTTTTAAACTAGTTGCGAATTTACATGTGTTCGTCTGTGAAGCGCCAACCGAGCACTAATCAATCAAAAGCGGTCCAACTAGAAAGGTCCATCCAGATAGGAAGAAATGGTTATTCTTTTTTATGTTCTCATCCTTTGTTTTTTTGAATTTCACAATTCACGTAGCACCTCGTCTATAGTGAAAGTGCTATCCTGTCTGAACGTTCTCAACTTGCTGATTATTCGGAGTTGGGAATGGTACCATTAAGCACAAAATCCAAATTAGCTTTCCTAAGTCATGTGTACCATTTAAATTGACTGCCTTTAACGTTCTCATCATACAGATGCAAATCATACAACGGATAGGTCTGGCTATTTATTTGAAAAGTCTCGATGTCGACATCTGCTGTCCATTCGAGACCCTAGCGGACAGCTTGTGTGCAACTGGACGATTTGAACTTCGTAGATGACCTAGCCCTTCTATCCAAGACACATCAACAAATGCACCAAACAATTGTAGCGATGACGACGATAAAGATCAGTTTCATGAGAGGCTGCAATCAATCATAGCGAAGTGCTCAGGAAGGGACCTGACCATCCTGATGGGAGGCTTAAATGAGAAAGTCGAAATGGACAACATCGGGTATGAAGATGTCATGGTACGACATGGACTGGCTTGGGGAAAGGAATGAGAATACAGGTGAAGAAAACCAGTGTAGTAGCAGCATGCCTCAACAAACAAAAGAGAAAAAGAAAGATCCTAAAATACAACACAGTGAGTAACAACCAAATCACACTTGATGGAGCCTTGAAAGAGGTGGAAACTTTCGCATATCTGGACAGTAGACGCAATAAACAAGTGGAATCTAATGCAGATGTGAAGGAATGGATTAGGAGAGCAAGGGCTGCCTTTCCACAGTTAAAGAACATATGCAACTCAAAACAACTGTCACCCAATATCAAAGTCAGATTCTTCAATACAAACGTTAGGACAGTTCCACTGTAAGGAGCTGAAACTTCGAGAACTACCACAATAATAATCATAAAGTGCAAGTATCTCTAAACAAATGTCTATGCAAGATACTTCATGTCCGTTGGTTGAATACTGTCAGCGACAGCTTACTGTGGGAGAGAACAAACCAGCTTTCAGTTAAAGAGGAAATTTGGAAAAGGCGATGGAAGTGCATAGGACATATATTGCGGAAACCATCAAACTGCACCTCACGGTAAGCCCTAGCTTGGAACTCTCAAGGTAAAAGAACAAATTGCCCCTAAAATCGGAGACAGACATCAAAAGACTGGACAGCATTTAGGAACATCCAGAAAGGAGAGCCCAATACAGTATTGGTTGTAGATTCCTAGTTGGCGATCTATGCTCCACGAGGGGTAACGGGCTTAAGTACAAGTTATGTAGGCTAATAAATAATGTTATTACCATCCATACTTGGGCATAACTTTGTATTGTTCGTATTCATCAGTCAACATAATACTTTAAACTTTTGAATTTCGACCTAAATTCATTTTTAAAAGGAAACATTTAGTGCAAAATAGGCGGAATGTAACAATAGTCTACTGATGGTATTATTTAATATAAAAAGGAACGTAAAAATTTGTGTAACGTACTTGTCGCAATTTACGACTGATGACTAGGTTCTCTTTTATGACTTCAGAGAGTTTCTTTTCGGCTGTTTGCGCAGCGGATAAGGCCGATTCGACACTGGATTCCATTTCTTCGAGACGCATATTTGACTGAGTAGTTATTAAATCCAGTTGGGACTCAAAGTATGCACGTTGTGATTCCAGTTGACTTGTCAAGATAGCACTGAATTCCATGCTAATTATGTCTAGCTTCTTGTTACCAGTCTCACTACTGGGCCCAAGCTGAAACAAATAAATGTCAGTTATGCACAGTTGTATAATTCCAAACGATAAAGTATGGTGAGACTAAAACAGTAAAATTACTCAGAATCAATGATTTGTTTCCTTCAAACAACCAGCATAACAGCAATGTTGTCTTCCCACAAGGAGGGGTGGGGTTGGAGAAGGTCGATCCCGAAATAAACACCTCGCCTTATACCACGGATTTCCGTCTCCGGCAGTAAGGTCCCAACAAATACGGAGCTGACACGAAAATTACCCACAAAAAGGTCGTGTGTGACCGGTTTCAATCAGTTGTCCCTTGGGTACTGCGGTCACGCTCTCAGGTCACTAAGACCACCTCTAATCCAATTTCCTTTTCAGGTACTTCCAGAAGGACCCTTCCACGGTGTGGGCAGCCGAGAAGTGATAACCGCCCTCATACCTCTAACAGCACTCCAGAAAAAGCACTATTATAATTGATCCCCGTTAATAGTCGCCTATGTGTTTTTCGACTAAACAGATACGTAATTTATTTTTTTGACACAGAAATATTGGTACAAGGCGGCACCAGATATATATGCGCCACACAAAAAATTGTCATTTCACCTAATTGTGTGAGGGCTATGATACTGCCCGGAAGCCCAGACCGAAAGAGATGGTTTTCTTAAGGGACCACACCCGGAGCCTTCGATCTAAAGGTCTGATCCACAAGGCAGTGGAGCATCGTGAGGAAACGCAGTCTCATGGTAGCCGGTGACCAACACTAGGTTCATACGCCATCTTTCCTCAGGAACTTGGAGCTCATGGGCACCATTGGTTTAGAACCAGGGTTTTCCAACTTCCCTAGGTGGACTCACTGGCTCGGTTAAAGCACCGGACATTCGCTTTTCGTCCTCTCAATTTCGTAAACAACACCCTCACCACGAGAAGGCCGTGAGTAGGACTTCTCTGGCAGAGACTGTATACGTGTGGCCGTGTAAGAGCATTTAGAGAGAGAGGGCGGGCTCTCCCCACTCTCGGCCAGACCAGAGCATTTGGGGGCGATCCGTAAGAATTCGGGAGGATAGGGACAAACATCGTTGCCTTTTCGTCGTTTCTGCCTACACTCCCACTGACTGCAGCGCGGGTGAAGCGAAACATGACTTTTACAGAAAGCTCTCTGAACTTCTTCAAAAAGCTAAGCGCTCAGACATAGTACTCGTAACGGGTGACTTTAATGCCCAAGTAGGAAGCTTAAACCAAACAAAAAGATATTTAGGTATTCCAGCTCAGCGAACAGATAGTGGTTATAGTCTGTTGCAACTGTGCCCAGACAATCGTTTATTTTTAGTAAACACTAATTTTAAACATAAGGAGAGACTTCGTCTAACATGGCGACCCCTTGCACCAAACCAATGATGGGCTCAAATAGACCACTAGTCATCGTTGGAGAGGTTAGATAGAAGACTTTCGCTCCTTCTGGAATACATGTTTAGACTCTGATCATGCTCTAATACGAGCACGCATTTTCTTGCGCCTCACTGGACGCAGAAAAACCACACTAAGAAGACCCATTAGAATTGAACTGAGGGACGAGGAAGCTAAAATTAAGTTCCAAGAGCAACTGAGTTCACATTTAGGCAGTTTTGTAGACGAGGCTGACCCAGATGTTGCTTGGAAAGATATACGAACAGCTGTGGAAACAGTAGTAACATCTATTAGTAATTTAAACCAAAGGGTTACAAAAAACCAATGGATTTCTTCTAAGTCTATTGCACTGATGGATTCTCGTAAACTCATCCCATCAGGCTCTGAACACGATGAAGAGCGACAGCAAATCAGAACTAGGTTGACAAAAAGTCTACGCAACGATCGTGAGCAGTGGTGGGCAACGAAAGCAAAAGAAATGAAAAAGGCAGTAGCTGTAGGCAACACCAGACAATTCTTCAGACTAATAAAAGAAACCGGAATTAAGAAGTCAAGTGTAAGCGAGACAATCTCGGAAAAAGACGAAACTCTTATCTGCTCCCAGCCAAGACGTTTAAAAAATGGGCGGAACACTTTAGAGAACAGTTTAGCTGGCCTTTAGCTACTCTACAGTTACCCACCATTCCCAGACAGTCTGAATGGAACATTGAAGTAGGTCCCCGACCCTAATTGAAGTTCAAAAGGCTATAACTAATGTGAAGCGAGGAAGAGCTTCTGATCCAAACAGATTGGCTCCAGAGGTCTTTAGATATGGTGGTGTTAGCGGGACATAGATTGAATTAAAGCATGTTTCATGCATGATGGTGTTGCTGCACGCTGATTGACTAATTCTTATCCAATCAGCTCTAGTTGTTGCTTGGAGAAGACTCTAGAAGCTTCTCATGTAAAATCTATAAATATACTAACGTATTTTTTATTGCGCTTCCTACTTCATCTATTCCTGTTATTTGGAATATAATCTCTTCCCTGTCCAACAGTGTTCTGATTTGTGGACTTGTCGAGTGTATTGGTGTCCAAAAATACTAAACAATAGGAATCGCTGGGTCGTAATAAGGAATATATAAACAAGTTATAACAGGTGGTCCAATTTTAGCGATTAGGTTGACTAATATTTTAGCTAAAATCTGGGAGTTGGACGTAATCCCATCTGACTGATCACAATCACTTACTGTCCCAATATATAAGAAGGGGCCAAAATCATCCTGTGATAACCATAGAGGGATTCGTTTGACTAATATAGCATCTAAAATACTAGTCACAATAATTATCAAACACTTAACAAATACTCGTGAACTGTAAACACGAGAAAACCAGGCTGGCTTCAGACCTGGTCGTGTCTGCAACGACCACATATTCACTATTCGTCAGGTTTTAGAACACAAACATGCTTATCGGCGTCCGAAAATGATAGTTTTTCTTGACTTTAAAGCAGCATTTGACTCTGTAGACCGAGAGGCTCTGTGGCAGTGTCCGCCATTGAAAGGTGTATCTCAGAAGTACATAAACCTTGAGAATGCTCTTTACTCAAACACTACCAGTCAAGTGAGAGCTTATGGAGAACTGTCACCTGATTTTACAACCTCAAGTGGTGTCCGGCAAGGTTGTCCATTATCTCCATTTTTGTTTAGTTTCATCATAGACAAACTACTGGAAATAACGCTCTCATCATTTTAATTTTCAGGAATTCCTCTCCTACCAGGAGGTGCACTCATCGACTTAGAATACGCAGACGATATAGTCCCATTTGGTGAAGACTGGTAAAATTCAGTCTTCTGGTAGCACTGAGTAATAATGCCAGGATGTTTGGGATGCCTTCCTCCTCCTCTACATGTAAATTGTTGCTCCAGAACTGGCCTGCGTCCACACCTAAACTAAGGATAAGGAGTGAAGTAGTTGAACGCGTCGACAACTTCACTTATCTTGAAAGTCTGATCAGCCCTAATGGGTTGGTGTCTGACGAAATCTCTGCGCGGATTCAAAAAGCTCGTTTGGCTTTTACCAACTTACGTCACCTATGGCGAAGACAAGATATCTGTCTATCAATTAAAGAACGAGTATACTGCGCAGCAGTTCGCTCTGTTCTACTTTACGGCTGCGAAACGTGGCGATTAAGAGTAGAAGATACTCGTAAGTTACTAGTGTTTGACCACAGAAGCCTTAGAAATATTGCTCGCATCTGCTGGAAACACCGGCTAAGTAATAGTGAGGTTAGACATAGGGTTTATTTATTTATTTAAACACATAAATATTGGTACAAGGAAGCACCAGATAAATATGCGCCTCACAAATCTCATTTGATTTGCATCTCCTCACGATGCTCCACTGCCTTCTGGACTAGACCTTCAGGTCAAAGGCTCGGGGTGTGGCCCCCTAAGAAAACCACCTGCTTCAGTCTGGGCACCTGAGCAGTATCACAGCCCTCATACAAATCAAATAGACATAGGGTATTAGGGAATGACAGTAAATCAGTTGATGAGGTTGTGGATCTTCATCAACTGAGATGGTGAGGCAACGTGTTACGTATGTCTGAACACCGATTACCATGACGCGCAATGCTGATTAGTGTAGGGGATGGTTGGAAGTGTTAGGGGCGGCCAAACCAAAACGTGGCATCAGAGCACGAAGTCACTAACTTCTAGTCAGCCATGTTGGTAGATGCAGACTACTTGGTTGGGGTCCGCGTGACTATCGTAACCAATGGTTGAAGACTCTGTGTGACATGGCTCAGAATCGATCACAATGGCATAGGTGTATACACTCTCTGTCTTCCCTTAAGTTATGAGATTAAAATTGCTTCATATCTTTCTGTCCCTGTACTATATCCTTATATACAATCTTTCTTTTATATATTACCACCACTAAATTAACCACTTCTATGAATTTGGTATTCATCTTGTGCTAATGAGGTGTGGCAACTTGGACCGATGCATAAATGTGCCTGGTCTTATGTTGTGGTTGACTGACTGAAATAAGTTAGCTGTATACTGAGTCTAAGAAATTAGATAGTAAAAGGTCTTACATCATTCCACCAACAGAACTAATGGTTTGTCCTAACAAAGAAAAGATAGATATCACCACCAATATCCAGAAGTCTTAGCAAAGGCATTTAAAGCTAAAGAAAAAATCCTATCCTAGTTATATATTTTGTGAAAATTAGTATCAAGGTTTGGATCAAATAGAGAAACTGAGCAGAAAGCATTTTGGTAAATAATTCAGTATCATAACGTAGTTAAATAATCGAGAATTTCAAGATGCGAATATGGTAAGAATATTAGGGTAACATGGTGGTTGGAGGTGGTCAACAGGAAACCCTGGACCCGGGTTTCGTGCTACTTGCCACTCGTCAGCAAGGTGTACCTGTAGTCCTGAGGGAACTGATGCTCCCTGGCGGATTCGATCCCGCGTCACTCAGCTTCACAGTCAGAGACGTTACCACTGAGCTATTCGGGCCGCGACCAACCCCCCCCCAATTATGGTGAGAATATATTGACTTAGTTTGTGTTTATACAACCCACTGAATGAACTTTTATACAAACCCATATTTTAGTAACCTAACTTTTCGCGCTTCACAAAGGAATATACTAATAGCAAGCAAACAAAAACAGTAAAGTTACTTACCTGGACTAATTTTCCATCCTCGTGATTAACAGCTAACCGATGAACATATGCATCATCAGCGTAATCCCAGACCAATGTTTTGCCGAGCTCTAAGGCGAATGTATGTCCTGTTTCTTCAAAATGCACCTGTGCATGTTTTTGACCATAACGACCACAACCAACATGACCACATATGAGACAAATCCATAAGTTTTCCCTTATATCACAATCTGCACACTGACTGTCAGAGAGCATTTCAGGTGACTGAACATAACGGCAAACTGGACAGCTATATTAAGAAATAAGTTAGGAAATTTCTTGTCTTACATGGTGTCTTCTACCTGTGAAATACACCCATCATGGAATGTGTGGTTACATAAAATTGTAGTCAGTATTCCTTGCACGGGTTCATCCTGTGGTTAAGAATAAAGGTAGTGAAAAAGACCATAAATACGGGAACTAACCAGACGCTCTAAACACACCGGACAAGAAGGTAACTCCCTTAGATCTTTGGTGGGAAATGCAACGCCCTGAAAACTGTGAATAAGTTTTGGTTGATATAATCATACTGTAGAAGGGTGCGTGATCTCCACATGTGAGACATACATCAGTTGGCACGCCACTTGTTCTAAAGTATTGTAAGAGGTGCCATTGTAAGTATCATAAAAGTGGACAGTGTCTTCCTATAGCTTTAAAACGGATATAACATATACGTACGGCTGTCCGGAACTTTAGCAATGCCATATACTGATTTGGAGTACTATCCTTTACTATTTTTAGCTCTTCAATCACATCGCTGAAAAGTTGAACAGTAATTTACAAACATACCGCATAGGTGAAATAAACCTCAGTAAGTCCTTTACCGTTACATGAGATGGCACAGAAAAGAAACATAGTACAGTGCTCGTAACCATGTCATTACATCGTGGCACTTCTCTCCTAAGAAGCATTAGGATGTCTTAAAACTACGTACTGGTTTTTGTATATATGTATGATACCTTCAGTGGTTTCGACCGTTGGATTACCAGAGAAAAAACTTATCTCTTCACCTTTGTCTAGATTCCACGACTCTGTAGTATCTGCAATAAAAGTATGTTGTCTTAGATACAAATCCCTTACCCATTGTATACGTTTCCACAGTAATTTGATTAAATTGCCTGCTACCTTGTATGTCTGAGGTGTTTAAGTCAGAGTGCCTGGCCTTCTTAAGAGACTTCCGGATGATAAATGGATATGGTAAGGATGGAGCTATACATGTAAAGAAAAAGCATATGGTCTCTTACATCTGTATGAAAGCGATTTCGATAATTTCTGCTTAGTTTCCTCAAATAATATTACTAAGTGGTAGAGTGAATGAGTGTCCATTCCACGAGGAAGCAGAATTAACACACCATGATGAGAAAATGTTCGGAAAATGTTATTTTATCCAGGTAAAGAAGAAAATGGAAACCTCAGCAAAAGAATATTGTATTGTAAGAAGAGTGACGTTTTAGTCAGTATTCCGCCCTCGTTCAAGGTACTTCCAATATCCAATATATCATAAGGGAAACCGGTTTGGGTTTTCTGATCTTTTAGTAAAGATCGTGGATGAACATGTTTCATTTTAACTATTCTTGAGAGCCTTAGTGAACACCATTTCATCTAGCGTTCCGTTTCGTTTAATTTATTGGTTTTGCTGAGTTTATTGTTATAATTGACATATATTTGCTCACTTATACCACATTCAAAATGTCTAAATCATTTTATCTGAGAGAGATTAAATCCTTCTTTGTTTCGGAACACAGGATGGTGGTAAAAGGCTTTTAACATATCCCCTTGTTCTTATTATTATAAAGAGTCCATTGATTTAAAGATACGACTGGTATTCTAGTTTGACAACTAGCAACCAGTAACACCTATATTCGAAGCTTTCCCCAACCAATCGAAATCAGAAGTCAGATGCGAAGATGTAGGAAAGATGTATTTGATACGTTATCAATATATCAAGAAGCGTTTGCTCTAATCTGGCTAGTGAACGTAGGAGATGTTTCCCACGCTGGTTCGTAACGTGATCTGGTACGGATGCATGACCGAAGGCCTTCAGTTAAACAAGTCCACTTAAAACAATGCGATCAGCATCCAATATCGAACACTTAAAGAGCTGTTGATTTTGGGGAATTATTTACAGCTACAGATCACTCCTAATGAGGTAGTGATTACCATAAGACGTGGCCAGCCAGAAGTTTAAACTCAACGAGTTTGTCGTTGGTAAACACTCTTTTGATAGCTTGCTTCGTTTAGCAGCATCTAGTCGTCTTTCCTTACACTAAGGGATCATGAAGTACAACATAGTAATAAGGAAACAAAGTACAATGAAAATTTCGGTCCCTTGTGAAACTTCATCGTTCTTTTCCAGCCGTCCTGGAAAAGGAAAAAATAGAACGTGTGAGTGCATGTCGAAATACACGTACTTGCGTAGGGACACAAGGTGACCGGAAAAAAAGTAAATAAACTAATACCCCTGCGACGGCGTAAAAGCGATTGTAAAAAAATTGTTCTTTCTTCGCGTTTTTTTCTATATATAAAAATATATATATACGCTCATAAGTAAAACAATTGTTTTTTTGGAATAAATATATAAAAATGAGCATATTAAAAAAATTCTTTTTTACAATAAATAATGCAAAGAGGAATTCGAGATAAAGATTGTTTCCTACGTGCAATAGTCATTTAAATCTTCTGGAAATCTTACTCTTCTTCCAGAACGCGTTGCCCTAAGTTTATTTTCCGACGTTGACGAAGTATCAAGGTGTGTGTCGGCCGTCGTGTGGGGTACTACACGTGTAGGAGCCGTGTCGCTCGATTGTACCGAAAGAAAATGGACGTAGATAGGGTTTCCTTCTAAGTACGCTGCTTTTAGGTTATCTATACTGATTCTATCGTTCGTGCCGTTCTTATCGACTATATAGTACTTAGGTTCACGTTGATGAACTTTAAAGGGTCCTTCGTATGCTGATTTGAGAGGTCGTCGATGTGAGTCTCGGCGAACGAAGACGTGTGTACTATGTCGTAATTCAGGTTGAACGAAAACATCAGCTGATTGAGGTCGAGTGTGAGCAGGTTTAACTGAACGCATTGCGTTTGTAAGCCTGCTCGTGCAAGAGTTCAGATCCATGTTCGATGAGGAAGCCGAAGGATCCACGAATTCCCCTGGGAGTCGGAGTGTCGTTCCATAAACGAGTTGAGATGCAGTGTATCCAATGTCAGCTTTCACTGCATTGCGAATACCTAGCAAGACGAATGGAAGAGCGTCTGTCCACTGTGAAACGTTTGTAGCTGATAGTGAAGCTTTTAGTTGTTAGTGAAAACGTTCTACCAACCCGCTTGCTTGTGGGTGGTAGGTGGTCGTTCGGAAGCGAGTGATTCCTAATAGTGTTGTCAGACAACGGAATAGTTCAGACTCCAACTGGCGTCTGCGGTCTGTAGTGATGGTTGAAGGGCAGGCGAAATTTGCTACCCATCGTTCGACAAAGGCGCGACTCACTGTTTCAGCAGCAATGTCATTAATAGGTACTGATTCTGGCCAACGAGTAAAACGGTCTACGCATGTTAAGAGATATGAGTATCCGTTTGAATCGGGTAAGGGTCCTACCAAATCTAGATGAACGTGGCCGAAACGAGCGTCAGAGGTTTGGAAATAGCCTAAGGGACATTTGTTGTGTCTAATTACCTTAGATTTCTGACAGCTTACACAGGAGCGTGCCCATTCCCTCACGTTTTTATTCATGTCAGGCCAGCAAAAGCGTCCGGCTATAAGCTTGATTATTGCACGAACACCTGGATGAAAAAGATTGTGCAACGTATTGAAGACGTTGAGTCGATAATGTTTTGGTATTATTAGACGATCCCTACCTGTAGATGTGTCACGGAGTAAGGTTTCCTTACCTGTTCCCATCTGTCTAATACTTAGTTTAAGTGTTGTCGAGGATAACTCATGCTGAAGATCAATGTCTTCTTTTTGAAGCTGAGCGAGTTTAAGAAGGTCGATTCCTTGGAAACTGTTCAGGGAGCTAATTCGAGACAAGGCGTCTGCGACTACATTGTTTGCTCCAGAAATATGTTGTATGTCTGAAGTAAACTGCGAAATGTAGTCGAGTTGTCGAGACTCTCGCGGTGAGTACTTGTCTGAAGATGAATTTATAGAGAAAATAAGAGGTTTGTGATCGGCGAAAAGCGTGATTTCTCTTGCTTTGATGGAATGTTGAAAATGCCTTACATCACAATACATAGCTAGGAGTTCCCTACCGAACGTGCTGTACCTAGATTCCGCGTCTAACAACCGTCTCGAGAAAAATCCTAGAGGTTGCCACGATTTGTTAACCCATTGTTGTAAGACTGCTCCGATTGCTGAGTCGGATGCGTCTACTGCGATATTAATGGGCGCTTGAGTGTCCTGATAAGCAAGCAGGGTTGCTTTAGCGATGTGTTCCTTAACTGTGGAGAAGGCTTCACGGGCTATGTCGTCTAAACTAATTGATTTCGCATTTCCACGAAGCTGATCGATTAACGGTTTCATAAGGGATGCGCATTTGGGTATGAATCACCTGTAGAAATTTACAAGGCCGTTGAAAGTTCACAACTGCATGATCGTGATCGGTTATGGGTAATCCAGAATGGCCCCCACTTTGCTTCTAAGGGGTCGGATGCCTTGAGCATCAATAGTGTGTCCTAGAAAGTCAAAGGAGTTGGTTCCGATTTGGCATTTCTGAATGTTGACAGTAATGCCATGCCTTTAGAGTCGTTCGAAAACAATGTCCAGATGCTGGAGATGTGATTCTCTGTCCGGACTTGCTATTAGACAGTCGTCAACATACGCATGTACGAAGTTGAGACCTCGCAAGACTTCGTCTATAAACCTTTGGAAGGTTTGATTCGCATTTCTTAGACCGAAGGGCATTCGTAGAAATTCGTAGAGGCCGAAAGGAGTGATGATGGCGGTTTTTGGAATGTCGTCGGTTGCCATCGGTATTTGGTTGTAAGCCATAACTAAGTCGATTTTCGAAAAGACAGTTGTACCTTTCAAGGTAGCTGTCAAATCGTGAATGTGAGGCAATGGGTGACGATCGGGAATGGTTTTAGCATTCAGACGCCGATAATCACCTGTTGGACGCCAATCATTTCTGCCCTATTTAGGGACCATGTGCAAAGGGCTATTTGACGGCCGAATTATTCCTAAGTCTATCATGTGATCGAATTTGTCTTTAGCCAACCTAAGCTTTTCGGGAGCCAGTCGGCGTGCTTTCGAGAATACAGGTGGTCCTGTAGTCGAGGTGTGATGTGTTACACACGGCAATTTCGGTTGTAATTGATATATCCCAGAGTACCTGTTCAGTATTGGTTGATAGAATTGGTCTATTGTGTGCCTAATTGTGATTGGCAATAGTCTGCGACCAGAAAGAGGAGTTACTCAGACAGATAATGTAGTGTTTCCATCTATTACCTTCATTTGCGTGTCTCGATAGGTAGATTGCGGTATTGTAGCAGGACTATACCAATGATTGGCGTAGAATCATCTGCGACCACGGAAATCCAGTGGATGGGTTTGCGTAAACCCACGTTAAAATAGACGTACCTTTTCCCATATGTGACGATCGTTTGTTCCGTTTGCCGACTGTAAGCTTAAAACAGACTCGTGAAGCCTGTCGTTAGAATTCGCGGGAAGAACGCTAACTTCTTCTCCGGTGTCGACGAGGTAGCGAACTTTCGTTGTCATATGCGTGACGTATAGGAGGCGGCTATGTTCGCCGGCTACGGTTGTCGTTAACGCGTGCCGGCCGGGAAGTTTCCCGAGATTTTATTCTTGCCGGTCGACTTGGAGTTCCGGTAATTGTAGGGTTTCCTGCAATTTCTAGAAGACTTGCCATACTGGTTATGGTACCAGCACCAACTGGGGTTATCTGTCTTTCGTAGTCTAGAGACAGATCGCCTACGTGAAATATTTCTTCGCGGGGTCTGTGATCGTTCACAGTCATTACGAAATCGAAGATAGCGTGTCAGTGTATGACATAGTTCCGTGATGTCATTCTGGGTCATTTGAGGTTTTTCTTTGACTGAAAAGACCTCGGCGTTAGTAGATTTCGTAATTTCTAAAATGCGGTCGACAAATGCAGCCAGTTGGTCTACGGCGTTGTTTTGAAACGAGACGAGAACTGCTTGCACCTGTTGAGGAAGTTTAGACAGGAAGAGTTGTCTGAATAGGCCACCATCGAAAGTTCGCGGGCCGATAACTTCTTTCATCCTTAAAAACATGTCTGTCGCAGAACGATGTTGCAGATCGATATTATTAAGGATTTGATCCAACTGTTTTCTATCTGTTAGATCTCCGCGTTCAAGAGTTGATCATTTCAGAGTTTCGTAAGGTTCCGAAACATCAGCGCGAATTTAGTGTGAGTTACTTCTTGTCTATTTATCAGTTTTTTTACTCATCTGTACACTATGTTGCCTTGCCATCAATATTATTTCACCACTCGTTAT